TACCACAGAGTCGGAAATCGCCGAGCAAGTAGCCATTGCATTGGCACTTTTGGACCAAAATAGATCGAGGATTCACAGGGACTCTAGGGCATTGTTATTTGCCTTTAGTGTCCCTTTAAGCACATCTCTGAGTAATTTTTCAAAAATTTTTCTGTGTGATCAGTGATTCACATTGTAGCAGAAACAGAAATGTAGCGATTGCAGATTTCCAGTTCATGATAATATTAATAATTTTATTTTCTCAACCACAACCCAAGCAACAATTTGTCCTTGGCAAGAGGTCGGTGAGAGGTTGACTGACTGTGAAGTGGTTGTCCCGACCTTTGTAACCAACGTAGGGCCGGTCTTGGGGATTGACATTTGCCTCACGTTAGCCGATGTCGAACCGCATCGTAGGCCTGGCCGCGTTGGCCATTGAACCCGAGTGCGTGCCGCGCGCAGCTTGACCATGGCCTGACCTTACATAAGCATGAATTCACTGATGGCTGTAGGTCGGCTGCCAACGTTCTTTGCTCTGCTTTTATTATTTTTTTTTATTTTGTGCACATGACATTGGCTGAGTTCACATGTAAGACGAAATTAAACGCCTCTAAAGTCCGCACTTGTTAGTGTGTAAGGATGTAACATGCAATAAAAGAAAGACAAACGTAAGCTTCCTCAGTTAATACGTTTATTTCGCAGTTGTATAAATGCACTATGTTTTCATGCCACATTGTTCGCATGGAACGATTTGCAGCAGACCTTGTGCAACCCAACTATACAAGTGATGAAGTGGTATTCCTGCTAGATCAGTTCTTTCTTTCTGTCAGTTTTTGCGCTCTTATTTGTGAATACGTGTATGGTGTGTGACCTTTTATCACCGAGATGTGAGGCTTGTATCGTTCTCTTGCTGAGAAAAGCTGAAAAGAACAAACAGAATGATTAATAATTAGAGAAAGGCAGACTATTTACATAGCCAGTTGCACAGTCGCATGCATGAATCGCATGCGACTGTGCACGCACAATTCGGCAAAACAATTTTGTTGGTGTATACACAAACCAGAAAAAAAATGTGCATTTACAATAATTATGTCAGTGCGTTGATATTCTGAAATATGCTTGAAGCCCCAGAGCATACAGTTTCCTCATAATATGTCGCTGGAAAACAAACAGTACAAATAAATTAAGGACAACACATATTACCTTCAAGGCGGGCCAGGCAGATATTTTTTAGGCATTGTTTACAGCTCATTTGCAACCTAATGTAACGTGAAAAAAAATTGCGTAGGACTCCAGCAACCAAACATGCATCTTACCAGACTTCCTTTCAGCACGGCGAGACCAGTGCATCACGCTATCCACACTTTTAAGCAGTCATTGTTGCAGTGCTCCCTAATAGAAAAAAATAGCAATATTTGTCATGCTCTTGCAATATGAACAAACGAACAAAAAAAAAACTCAAAAAGCGTATATTTACTCGTTAACGATCAACAAAGACTGATACAGCAGCCGTCCACCTGAACCACTCTTATTCGTCAGCTAGAGGAGACTAACGGATTGGCACATCAGTTGCACAGATCAAAGTGAATTTTCCAAGAAACAAAACTGGTAATGCGCCAGCAAACATTGCCACTTACGAGTACGTATGAAATTGTCGGCGGCGGGACGCGGCTGCCTCTAGGAACATGGCAAAGGAAATGCTGCTCAATGCATGTGCGTCTTACGACTCTCCATTGTAGCGCTTCAGCAACTCGTCGGCGCTCCGAGCGTCCTAATGCCACGACCTAAAAAAAGTAGAAGAAAAAGAAGAGGAGGGCCCGCATCCCTTCTCTCTATTCAGGTCATCTTTATCAGAGCTCGGTCGTGCTCTGATAAAGATCGGTCGTGCTCTGATGACTGGGAGCTTACGGGGCCGCAGGCCGGGCCATGAGAACCGTGCAGTAGTAAATGTTTTCTTTTACCGTATTTACTCGTGTTACCGTATTTACTCGTGTAATCCTCGCACTCGCATAATTCTCGCATCCCCCACATCGCCCAACAAAAATGCGATTTCTTTTTTTCCTCGAGTAATTATCGCACCCCCGAAAACTGCCGAAATAATGTCGTCTGCTCGTTCCAGTCAAAAATGATGATAGTGCGCGCCGTCTCTTAAGCATCAAGCGTACTATTGCACGGATTTTCAATCCAATCTAAGCCAAGCCGAAGCGGCCAGTGCGCGTTGCGGCGTTTTGTATGTTGTGTCGGTAATTTTGATTCGTTATGGGGCGATACTGAAGCTACACGGCTGCTTCAAGTTGCGAGTGATAGATCATGCACTAAACAACGGCAACAGGGCCGCCGTTTGTCTACGAGTTTTGTGTTCGCTACTGGTGACGGCAGCTGAAAACCACCAAGACGCATTGGGCCTGCCGTGTGCCTAAAGCTGAGAATGATGGTAAACTTTATTTCTTCAGAAGGAAACTGCAGATGATTCTGTTAAATAGCTATCAGCCTAATATTGACGTCCTACGCTTACCTTTTGAGGGCTCCTGTTGAGCAACGAACACTACCGCTACGCCCACAACGCCCACAAGCTTTGTGTATGGCATTCTAATTCTCGACCATTTGCTTGCACTTTTTGTCTCAAATAAATCTTGCCTTGTGTTGAACCTCTGCTTTTATTGTTGAGATAAGTTTTAATTAATACTGCTTAAAGCTTGCTGTTAATTGCTGGTGTGAGAATCCCGATTTGCGGCCACTTGTTTTCTTTTTCGCTCTGTACGTTTTCGTGGAAGGTTTTCCCCCCGTAATTCTTGCACCCCTAACTTTGCATCTGTTTTACGGCAAAAAAAGTGCGAGGATTATGCGAGTAAATACGGTACATCTGTCTTTTCCCTTTCCGTGTTTCTCTGTTAGCGGGCGATTCCCGAGTTGATCTTGGCTTGCAGGCGCTGTGCTGGGCTCCCAAACGAGTTGCTGAAATTTATTTGTTTGTTTCCTTGGATAAATGGCACGTGTCCATTTTGGGGAATTGGTTGAGCACTTTCTTCTTCTAGCCACAATCTCCACCACCACCTTAGCTTGTCTGTACTTTTTTCCATGCTTTTAGCTTATAATTGGCATAAATTCATTGTTTGAGTCAAATTTGCTTACGCTAGCGATCTAATATTTATGTAATCAAATATTTTAGGAAGAAATGCACCATTTCTTTAGCCACTTTTACGAATCCGCTGTTAGCATAGTTGAACATTCAAACACAAACACACACACACACACACACATATATTTTGCTATGGTATGAGCCGGTCTGTGGTATGTGCCGGTGATGTGAAAGAGGAAGACAACATTGTCTTGTGCAGTCTGAGGACTCCATTTTTACTTCTGATTGCCCAATCTTATCCTCACCCTGCAAATAAACCCAGTCATCCTTTATTCAACCGTAACAATATATTTGTTGCCCTCTTGGCAAATGATGGTGCAGCGAAATTTCTCAAGGTGGATACGCTCCCCTGGAAAAACCATGTACGAATTAAATTACTAATATTGTTGTTATTTGGTCTATAATGTAATCAGATTGTTGTGCAAGTACTCTCTGCCAATTAAAGTAATCGAGCTTAGGATCACAGGTATACTGTATCTCACTGTCTCTCAGGTATTGTTTTTGAATGTTAAAGAAAACACAATAGTGTTTATATTGTTACGTGGAAATAACAATAATTCTGTCGTAAATCACAGTACAGCTCACGCCCGAACGTCACCTTCTTCAACTTTCATCTCGAGGCTTTTTTATATATGTCCCAGTATACACCGAGAGTGTTAGTTAAAATCACTCAACAATATATTTTATGCCAGTCTAAATAAATGCACGCTGTTTCACTATGCTGATTCGGCAACCAAGGCTGGCCTGATGTGTTGCCGACTGGTCACCTTGATGAGAGTTTGGCACGATCGGCGTTCACTCGGCCGCCGACGGAGGCCCGAACCACGCCGCCGACCAAGTGCCGACGTAACCGGCAGCGCACCTCGGGCCAACCCTTTTCAAATATCTGGGGGCCAGTGAAGTCGGCTGCCGACTACATGCCCGCCATACGCCAATGGTCGGCCAAGTTTGCTTGGGAAGAGCCCTCTGGTGACATGCGAGGCTAGGCAGAAAGGAAAAATTGTTGCATGTGTGCGTTTGCTGGCCAGTAACAGTGTATGAGTGTACTATTTGCAGCAAATGGGTCGATTTATGTCGGACGCCAGACTTACTATTATTGTAACGTGCTGTGCAATGTTTGCTTGAACATGTGGCTACACAATAACATCTGCGAAATAGGTCTTAAGGGACCCTAAAGAGGAAAATGATTTTTCACGTATTAGTAAAGTACAATTTTACAATCCCCAAATTACCACTCTTACTGTGAGACTACACTTGGTGAATGAGAAAACGTGAGAAAAAAAATGCGGAACAAGACGCCACCATCATATTATCGCACCGAACACAATGACATATAAGGTTTCAAAGACGTCTATTGAGTTCTATGTAGCTTGCAATAGATAAATACGAAGCACATTGCCGTCTGTGGACGCTAGCATACAAAGTTTCAGAAAATTTAATCGAGCCATTGTGATGGAAATACCTTTTGAAATTACACTTGTCATCACACTTGTCAGTTTCGGGGTGAATTTTAAAAATGAAGCTTCAATCTTTATTTTGTCTGCTAATAGTGGACTTATGATAGTAAAGCATATGGTATTAGAGTTTTCAGACTACAGTTTATCAATCTAAACAGAGTCATTGTTGCTCTTCAGTGTCCCTTCAACAGAGCGACTTATACAAATAGCGGAAGTACCACAAGAAATAAAAAAACATGATTGGCCTCCGAGAGAGGGTGTGTTTTAACCTTATGACCTGGAGGACAAAACTTGGAGAGTAAAAAGTTGCTATCTTTTGTGAAAGAGCTCACTTTAAACATATGACGCAAAGTCTTTTGTGAAAGAGCTCACTTTAAACATATGACGCAAAGTCATTATATCTATATTTGTTCCTTGTCCTGTAGATCGGCCAGGCCTGAAGGGCATCTCGGAGATCCAGCGGTTGAACGCGGCCATCCTCAAGTCTTTGCGCTACGAGCTGGGCAAGACTCACGAGCAGCCGTACAAGGGCGATGTGAGCGCCTTTGACTGCCTGCTCGCCAAGTTGTCCAGCTTGCGCGAGGTTAGCCTGCTGCACATGGACGCCCTGGCCAAGTTCCGACGCACAGTGCCCCACCTCGAGTTCCCTGCTCTCCACAAAGAGCTCTTTTCTGTCGACATCTGAAGCACCGGCTGCTGGCCCAGCTGCAAATGCCATGTCTTCTCCGGATTGTTGCTTCTGTGCCGCATTAAAAGAAACTCCGGAGACCGCTGAGGTGTGCCTTTCGACTCTGACTTTGGGAAAGTCACGGTGGCATAATGTTGAGAAGCGGTTCAAATGATATGCCCTATCCATGCCCAGCTGCTTCACCTGTTAGCCGGCACATTATTCATACGTGCCCTTACAAATGACTAGCCGGGTTATAGCTCCGACAGGATAACGTGTCTTGGCACGACCAAACTGCCGCTTAATATCAAGGAACGTGGCTCTGATGAAATGCGGCTCCAGTCGCCAGTGTTTCTTTCTTAGCTGTGTGTTGTTCTTGTCTGTACTCCAGAGAATTGCTGCTGAATCTGACAAAATGGCACCAGTGCTAAAAGCAAGCTCTAGAAGGATCATTGCCCGAGGAGATGCACAACCGCTGTTTTAGCATCATTCTGGCGGGTTTTACATGGTAGGCGAACGCAAAGCTGTGAATCTGTGGGATAACCTCTCGCAAGTTGATTTTCCTTTTTGTCTATTAGAAAACTGCCGGAGAAGACGCATCTTTATCAAGCGCCTCCTCTTCTCTGTTTGCTGTGGCAATCACAGGCTTGACGCGTGATTTAGTTATGTTCAAATTGCTGCATTCGCTCGCACAAGTGGTATGCCAAATGTGAATCTTATTGCAATTGATTTCAGGAATTGCAGGATGAATTGTTATTGTAGTTTGAGGATCAATGATCTGCACGAACTCCTGTTTTCTTTTTTTATATTTTTACTGCTATGAAGCGTACAAACCTGTTTGATAGTATGCATGTTTTTTTACACATCAGAGCTCATTCATTTGACATTGATGGTTTGGGCTCAGTGCTGCAAAACTGTACACGATTCTTTTTTTGAATTTTAGCAGAAAAGCGTGTGAAATGAAGTGAGATTTTCGCGTAACTTGCAACAAGTAAATGTGGATAAATTTTCTTTTGACATTTCTGTGCGAATAATGCAAGAAGAAGCTGCTTAGTCAGTATTTTATATTTCGAACAATCATCATGCAAGAGTTTTAGCGTAGTCAGCATCTTTATTTACGGTGCCTGGCTCAACAACCAGGCAGGGCTCCTTAGAAGGCAGCGTACTTTTTTCATCATACGTCATCGAAGCTTGCAGGTCAGCCATCGGGTCATGTTCACTGCTCCACGTATCGTCATCATTGCATGTCATTTCCACTCCCCACATCGACAACACTGCCACCATTTTTTCTAGTCGATTGTGGGGGGCATGTGCAAATTGCAGCAGCTATCGCACAACTGTGTGTGGTCGACTAAGAGGAAGTCATGGTGTGTCCGCCGACCCTTAAGGAAGTACGCAGCTGGTTGAAAGGGAATGGTGCTTTCTTAATTGCGAAGATGCGACAGAGACGGAACAAAGAATCATGTCGTGGTGCGTTTTGTCTCGTCAGGCACGTTGTTGAGATTACTAGCCTTTTTCTTGTTCCATTTTCCCTTGTCGCATCTGTGCAGATGTTGTTCGGTGTCGGGCGTTTTCTTGTTATGCCATCAGTGTTTTTACGAGCTCTTGTTCTCGCTGTAAGAGAAGAAATTGCCTGCTAACTTTGCGGAAGATGGTCGAAAAAAGCTTCAACACTCTCAGAAACACATCAACACACAAATGCAAGCACACATATTTACACACCCATACATGGAAAGTTTACTGTACATAACAATTCATTACCACGTAAAGAAGCTCATCCAAGAAATTTTGTTTCTTTTTTTTTGTCGCTGAGATGCGTACTGGGTTATCATAGATAGAGAGAAAGAATGAATAAAAAAGAGAGCGAGAGAAGCAATAATGTGATATCTTACATGACGACGACACTCCGTATACAAAAAGAAACACGAAAGAGTTCCGGGCTGACCCTTGTACATATTGCGCACTTTCACGACTGGTCGATCTCCATAGATGTGTAATTACTACCATTATTATATATTATTCTTCTCTGATCATGTGACGATGCACTAACTGTATTTCTCTGTTTTGAAATGCTGTTATCCTGTGTTTTCAAAGCTTGTTAACAACGCCCAGGAAAGTGTTTGCACGCAACCCTGTTGTGGACGCGTGGATGCGATCGGTGCTAGAGGGCACCAGGTGCTCGTGCGCACTTCTCGTTTGGTGTTAAGCACGTGCCTTGCTGCTCTCGTGTGCAGAGAGTAAAACTTGTGTATATTGCTTCTCTGTGGATGTCGTCACATTCATAGCACCCGTCCTGTTAGCGTTTCCTGCTGTACTTAGAGCAAAAACGTCACTGTCCACATTGCAGCTAAATGTCCAGCCTGCGTGGAGCGTCGGTTAGCTGCATAGGCAATTCCAAATGTAGGCATGGCGAGCGCCTAAATATGAACTGTGGCGATTCGCCAAAGCTAAGGTCGATCCTCGGGACACCTGTGCAACTATTGTTATGTGCCCACTCGCAGGTGAAACCCCGATAATTATGCGATAGCAGGGGGCGAACGTTCATTCACCCCATGACTGTGAACAGTCAATTATTGGATAATATTTTTTCGACTTCCTTCGGGGTTTTTTTAAATTTATTTATTTAGTTCAATATTTTCTTGTGACAGAAGACAATGTTGAGAAGTGTGCACTGCGCCTGGCTGCCCAGTTCGTCAATGTGGACGAGGTTGTTTCATGAACTGCTGTTAATGACTGACGGCCTCCAAAAATTTTTTCTACTTGTCGTTAAGTGGTGCAGTAATTCGTTAAACGAGGATGAATCAAGTAAATATGTAGTTACATATGAAGGAAACGTCAAACGTTTTCGAAGACTACTATCGTGCTCCATCGCTGTAAAATGCATCTTTTCTCACTACTTGAAAGATTATGGTGTCTTGGTGAAAGGTTTAGATGTTTTAGATGGCCTATGGTCTAACATGTCTTTTTTTTTTTCAAATGTTATATGCTCACTTATTTATGAAGCACCAACGCGAATGTTCGTTTTATGACATGACGTGAATAAATGTACATTGTATGCCATCCTAATTTTCATTCACCTGTTCTGCTCATTTCTTTGTGTGTTTGCATATTGTGCGAGTTCCACAGTCTGTTCATTGAAACTGGGTTTTTGGTGGTACCACAAGGTCTGGCTTTTAGAGTAACAATCATTATTTAAGTTTGCCATGCAATCGGCGATACATCTGCGCCGCACTTTTCAAAATTGTTCACGAATAAGCCGGACAACCTGGAGGCACCAAAGGGCCCCCAAATCTGTAAATCATGTTGTTTTTTTCTTTCTCGCCTTGTTCTCACCCACGCTTTTTTGTTTTATAGCTTCTGATGCTGTTAGTGTCGCTAATTGCTACCAGCCCTGTTTTCGCCCATCACTTTGACGGGGTCATTTAACGCATCTGTCACATGTGAGCATGCTACTAACATGCCATCATAAACACATAAGCGAGCGCATGATTAGAAGCTTTCTTTCGTATATCATAGCCTCCCCCTTTCAGTGCATGCTAAGTTCACGCATGCAGGACGCACTAACAAATGCAAAACTCTCTCTTAGCGCCTTATTAAGCTTGTTTGGGCATATCGTCAGTGGAGAATATGTGGCGTCACAAGTAGAGCTCTCTGCTTTAATGACGCTATCGATGTCGGAACACCAACACTTGTCCATTCATTTTATCACCACGAAAGTTGGGCACATATTCTAGACTTACACGATATGTGTTGTTTGTAACAGACAAGGTGCACAAAGAGATTGAAATGTTCGAGCGACTTTCTCATGTACAGATGTGAGAATGCGCTTGTTATCGCCAGTGACAGTATATCGCAGGCTTCGTTGCACTTTCTTTTCTGCTGCATCTGTCCTGTACCTGAATATGTGAGCGCATTCTCTGTAACATGCCGCTCACTATAAAAAATCGAGTGATGTAGCGTTTAGGAGACATGTTTTTACACAAAACTACTTCGAGCAGCAGTATTATAGGCGGGAAAATCGTTGAGAATTATCAAGGGAAATCTAAGCCCGAATGAATTAGTTTCAGGCTTAAAGTGGTCGAGCTCAGCCCACACTAAAGTATATGGGTCCATACACCAACTGGCAAAATTGGATCTAGTTTTTTTAAATTGGCTGATTTGTAATGAGTTATTTAGCAAAGATCGACCGTAAGCAACGTTGAGCTCAGATCTCAAGCTTTCCTTGTTACTATCGCATGTTTTCATATGATTGTTAAAGGATAGAGCTAAAGTTCGGGTGGATTTTTTTAAGGTTCTGTGCTAGAGAACAAAATTTTATATTAATGAATCGTAGGCTCCCAAACTCTGAGCGCCGAAAGAAATAATGCAATGCTAAAGGTTATTCATAAAATGAACTACTTTCAGAACAAAACATAAGATAATTTTGCTGTGACCATCCGTAAGTACGGACGGCGGTCTGCAAATTCTAATTTTATTAAAAAATTCATTGTGGGAAAAATGGTACTTAAAGGGGCCCTGCAACACTTTTTGAGCGTGGTCAGGAAATGTTGCCGATCGGTAGAAGAGGCTAATGTAGAGGCAAATGTTATAGCGCAGCATGCGGCCTGGCATTCACAATAAATGATCAAAGTCAGCCAAAAATTACTTTATCTTACCTCGACAAATGTAAAAAAAAGCTCGAAAATCGCACATAGATTGCCCATCTATCAGCAATTGGCTGATTTGAACATGGCGCGCTTGGTTGTTACTGAGATCGTCGCGAGAGCCCGTCACGTCACTCTTTCACGCGTGCCAAGACGTACCGAGCCAAATATGATGGCACAGACATGGCATGTAGCACGTGTAGAAAGGAGAAAGAAAAGGCTGAACGTTTGATAATGTTCTGTTAAGGGCTCTGCCCTATAGTCCAAGATAATGACGAGGAATTTTTCAAAGCATTGGGGTTTAGGGACAGTGAAGGCAAAATAGACTTTAAATGGGTAGAAATAACCAGGAGGAGGCTAACTGATTAATGATTACAATCGAGGCGTGAGTGAAATCCAATCCCTAAACACATAGTGATAGTACTTAACTTTATGGCTAGTTGGCGTGAGCCACCGCCTGATCTAAAGGGCACAGCCAGATACATCCATTCATGCGCTTGCGATCGCATTTAAAACGCTGCGTATTGGAAAAAAAAAGTTCTCAAGGTCATGAGGTGCGCGTGACTTTTTTGTTCGCCCCTCCCATCCTTCCCTGCTTAGCTTCCAGTGCTTTGGTCTGGACGAGAAAAAAGAGAATGCTATTGCAGCGTGGGACAGATCTGTGTAACTCCGCTCGTACTGGACGGTTTCTTAAAATTTTTTTCGGCATTGAATTTGTGAGGCAGTACACTTTTCCAGTGATTTAATTCCATGGTTACTCAAAAAAGTGTTTCAGGGCCCCTTTAAGGTAATTTGGTTTTAAAGCCATAGATGCTAGATTGCCACACTGTCTTGCATTTCAGTAATCCAAGAGGCTTTGTTCTGGTCACGCATTCTATTAAAAAATACTGTCGTACAAGTGTCACTTATCCTCTTGAGCTGAACTGTTCGAGGAAATGGTTCGAGAAAAAAAAAATGAATGGTTCGAGGAAAAGAAAAAGGGACAGGCTCTGCATACCTTCAGGCACTTTCTAGTGAGGCATGACTAGAGAAAGATACAGAAGTTATTGTATGACATTTCTCGCAGCTCAGAAGCACAGCATCGTGCAAAAGGGGGTATCGCACATGTCATGTCTTGTACTCTGTATAGCGAAAAGCTTGACATTGGCTATGTTTTTCTGGCAATGTCACTTTTTTTTTGTAAACAAGTGACGACCCACGAATAGCGAGGTATAGGAAGAAAACTAGGGCTGGTGACTGATCGAGGCCACGCAATACAACCGTTACCTCCTGGTGCCATAAATGAGCGAGGGATAGTGCCACCTGTGAATTGCTGCATAACTTGATCAAGTCGCAGGCGCCCAGCAAGTTGCATTCATGGCAGAGCGCACCAGTGTAAGCCAACTATAGACAGAGATGGTACTATATTCGCAACTTAATATATTGTTATATTATAGAGAGTGCCTTCATTTTCACCTGCTCGCATGACACATGATCAAGCTGCCAGCGCGCCTCGAAAGCACCGCCGGCTTCATTAAGCGTCGTCTTCTACCCTTTCCCTCAGCACGCAAAAGCTTTGTAGATATTTTATGCTTATCACTGCCACTGCGTTTACTCATTTGCCCCTTCTTCACTGCTGTGAATCTCTGGTCGAATCCTGAACGAATAGTTTCTGTGGCTTCTTTGCACCCGACCGGCTTCTTTCATGCTACGCGGCGCTAACAACTGTTTTTGAGGGAAAAAAAAAGCTTTACAAATACCACATTGCGCCGCATGTGCGATTGAAGTGAACCAAAACTTATCTTGTATCTGAGTGCCTGTTGCAGCGTTGTATGGCAACATCTGCTGCCAGTTGCCAAGGCTTAGTTCACGACTGTGGTGATCTTTTCAATCCCCTAGCGTATCATGCTTTGCATGCACATTAAAAAACTTAACGGTGATATTTTAATCCAGAGTCCTTCATTACAATGTCCTTTTTCATAACCGGTGTGCACTATTAAGGCCAGTTTATTGAAATTGAAATTCAGTGGTGATGTGACCTGCAATAGGAATTCGAGGCACTTAAGCTCTTGTCGAAACTCGTGGGCCGGGAAGCCCCTTCTGATTGCAAAACAAGCCACATGCTGTGTTTCTTTGGACAGCTGCACTTCTACTAACCATTTGTTTTTATTCTCTCTGCGTCTGACTACGTAACAGTGCTTTGTAAATTTCTGTCTCGCAAGTGTTTCAACATTGTTGTCCTCCTTGGCATCCTTTCTTTGCCCCACTTCTTTGGGATGGAACTTATTATTTTGACAGTGTAATATATATATATGAATAAGTCAATAAAGAGAGACGTGACACAAGATAAAGTGTATCCATCGAGGTTCTCGTGTCTCTCTAGTGTTCGTTCAGACCTGGCATCGTCAGCTTTCATGTGTGCTGAGGAACGAAAGAGAGGTGAGTGTTGGATAAAGTGACACCGAAAAAGCGAAATAAGTATGGTTACCAATAACCCTAAGTGTTGAAAGCAGACAAAGAGAAAGTGCCAAGAAAAACTTGAATCTTGGCCTCTGATATGACAGGCGCACAGCGCGTTACTAGCCGTCTCAATCGCACAGAAGGAGCGTGGGTGTGGCTCGCACTTTTCTGCACACTGCGGTGCTCCAATATAGCAAAATGATATTTGGGGAGAACTTCAGAATGGAACTTCAGGCGTTTAGACGAGAACTTGAGGTGCTTAGACGATATTGTGCTTGTTCTTACTCAGTGTATAGAAACTTCTAAATTACAAAATAAACCCTTATGCATAGCTTATCGGGACATCACTAAGGCGTATGACGATGTTAATCGGGAAATTTTGTGGGACATATTGAAGGAAGCGAACATAGGGGATGACTGTATAGAGCTTTTATTTATTTATTTACAAGTACCTTATAGGCTCCTCGGGGAGCATTGAGTAAAGGGAGCATCACAAAAAGAAATGGAAAAGAATGCGTACATGAGTCTGAAAAGTGCAACAGTAACGTACTTGTGAGACGCTGAAACAAATTGAATTACATGGCAAAATAATACTAAGAATAACACCAACTACTAACTAACAGCAGAATAATATGAAAGCAATACTACGGAAAAGTAAAAATATACCGAGAAAATACAGTTTGCATAGAACGGCAAGGAATAAGTATCAATGACAGCATTGAAGTTAAAGGGTGTCTGAGACAGGGACGCCCTTTGTCGCCGCTGTTCATGCTGTGCATGGTGTGGATGGAAGTGTGCTCGAGGGTATCGAAATCGGGTTTAATCTGTCACGCAAACAGGCTGGTGGGATGGTTCTGCAGAAGCTTCCAGGTCTGTTTTATGCAGGCAGTATTGTTGTATTTGTGAACAGTCAAGACAATATACAGTGGCTGCCAGATATATGCGGAAGGGAAGGCGACGCTCTAGGAATAAGATGACAAAGACTAGGTGGCCTCAATAAAGGGCCAAGAAATACCAAAGGTACGCGGGTACAAGTACATTGGAGTATGGGTAAATGAGGGAGGTAGATATATGGAGACACTAGGAAAAAACATCAGCAGGAAAAAGAATGCTGCAATAATGAAACACTGAGCATTATGGAGATATAATACTTATGAATTAAGTGCTTCGAGGTCTGTGGAAATGCGTAATGGTTCCAGGGCTTGCATTTGGGAACTCAGTGGTGTGCATGAAGTCAGAGGTGCAATTAGGAATGGATGTAAAAGGAATGAGCGTCGCCTCGCTTTGGGCGCTCACGGGAAGACGACGAATGAGGCTGTAAAGGGGGATATGGGATGGACAGGCTTTGAAGTAAAGAAGCTCAGTGCAAAACGAGGTTTGAAGAAAGCCTTAGGAAAATGGAAGAGAGTAGATTGGCTGGGAAAGTGTTCAGGTATTTGTATAGAAAGAGCGTGGACAGAAAGTGGAGAAAAAGAACTAGGAGGCTCACGAGTAAATATAAACTGGCAGTGTAGACGACATGGCAACAAGGAGCAATAATTAAGCGGAAAGGATTTACTGGATGACAGCAATGAAAAAAAAAAAAAGCCGGCTCTGAGTAACTAAAGGGCAAGAACGAAATAAGGCGGGAGAGGTTTTGTGGTAATTCAAGGGGAAGCGCTTTACTGTTCGAAGCGAGGTCGGCTTGCCTTAGAACACGTAGTCATAAAGCGAGATTCGCAAAGAGGAAGAAAAATATACATGCTGTTGGGGAGCTAAGGAAACGATGAAACTAGAGTAACTGTATGTGGTCCCTACGGGACCAGAGTAGCGCATAGGTCCGCCATCTTGCCTGGCTAGCAACCCGCTATGCGGCGAAGTCACCTTCTGTTTCTGCAGGCGACACTCCTGGCATGTTTTTCTTTTTTTTACCGTGATGTATGTTGAGATACTAGCTTGGCTTGCATCTGTTTGCAGTGCTTAAAGGCCGCTCTTGTGCCCGATTGCCAACAAAGTGCAACGTAAGTGCTGACTAGCGTGGTAAAGAAACAAAAACAAAAGAGCGACGTTCTTGCTCAGCGTGTGGCGAAAAGGGCAGAGCGAGCATTATCAACTTATTTCTGGTCTTGTGACATTCACATTTCGCAAATTTTCGGTAATTTTGACCGAACATATGGTATTGACGTTATGCTGGTGAAATATGCGACACTCGATCGTTGACCTTGACGGTACATATACGGAATCGCCCGATTATTCTCGGTGAAAATAAATAACCCAATGAAAAGTTATGCCTTTGGCATTTGAAGTGCATAATAGCCAACACTTTTTGCACAATTCGCATTGTGTGACGTACGGTTGTTACTTCACTGTTCTAAAACGATTTATTTCACACGTAAACGCAAATTCTTGCCCGATATGTAGCCTACATAAAGTCAGTTTAAAATGCGGCGCGCACTTTTGCCGTAATTGTGCGGTAGTGTACTCTGCTGCTACGCAAAGGACCCTGCTTCGATTCCCAAGTAAGACACGTATGTTTTTTTTTTTCGTATGGCTTTTTTTTTAATTTCATGTAATAGTGATCACGGATACCGGCGGTGGCGAATATCTCCAGTGCCGAAGTCGGTCCTAGTGATCTAATAAAAGCTTTTGCTGTAAAATTCAGTGACTTCAACAACCACGCCCTTGCAGCTACGTCAGTGGCGAAATATATATATATATATATATCTATATATATATATATATATATATATATATATATATATATATATATATATATATATATATATATATATATATATATATATATATATATATATATATATATTGTAAGGACGAGAAATAAGACACAACGCCTTTGCTGCAGGCCGGCTGTTCTTATTCTGCTTCGTCTTCCTCCTCTTCCTTCCTAGCATGCGAGTCTGTGCCAGAGAGAGTTCCAGTTTCGGTTTTCGTCATTACACTCGGCCATGACTGCTAGCATTGTCGTTGGGCCAAACGACAATGTTCTGGTAGGTAAGGCTAGCTGCAGCAGTTGACAGTGCTTCAGGTGGGCGAGGTTGGCTACATCGTCGTGGTCGGTCTCGACCACGCTGGAAGTTTGTCGAAATTGGCTCCGGCGGCCGACACTGGCTATGTCGTCTGGGTCGTTCACCGTGTCGTGATGGAGACTGGGTCCTGTGCGCGCGCGGAGCTGGCGGTAAAGTTTTTGGTGGGTGGGCTTGACTTTGTCGCCGTGGTCGAACTCGTCCATGATGCAACGTTTCCTGACAACTCGTAGAATGCAGTTCAGGTGGACGGCCCTGACTGTTCCGGCAAGGTCGCAGAGTAACCTGGAAACGCTGGTGTTTGTCCCACCGTCGCTGGTGGACTGAACTGCAGCGGGATGCCCTGCGAGGCAGCCATGATGACGTTTGGGCCATTTCTTGAAATGAGATGGGACGCAGCTCATGGTTGGGCATAAATACCACAGCAGAACTCCCAGACGTAGTCGAGCCGGTGGCTTCTGGCGAACTGTCATGTGCAAACATCGTATGCTGGGAGGAAACAGCAGGAGGGCTGGTCCTCGGCAAGTTCTCGATGGCAGTGGCCTCAGCGTAGCTAGGTATCTGGGCTTTCTCGAAGGAGACGTTCCTTGGTAGCCGAGTGTCTGCGTGGCTGAGCATGATCGTGGTCTGGTAGGGTTCAGTTGTGTCTAATACAATAGGATTGAGTGCCTCGATGTCCTCAGACGACGAGCGCGAGGGCCGTATCTCCGGACGAAGGTCTGGTGGGGGTATTTTCAGGTCGAATACCGATGCAGAGTCCGGGACCTGTAGTGTAGGATTCCAGCCACTTCGGTCAGGGTCAGCAGCAGGGAACTCCTGGCAGCATTCCGTTGACGAGCTGCAACGAACGATTGCAGCCTCGAGGCGGGGCGCTGCCTGGGCTCCATCCTCGGCCTCGGGGAAGATCGAGCTGGACTTGCTGGAGTCACAGGAAATCCGTCCGAAAGCGGCAATCAGGGCTGCACTCCATTCTGCCCAGGACTGCTGCCTGACGCCTTCGTACCTGTGCCATGCTGCGGCAGCATCCCGCAGGCGATCTATGGCCATGTCCCACTTCTGCTCTTCAGTCGTTCCGAGAGCGTTGACGGTTGCCACCCATTCCTCGGCGTCGTCCTGGAAGCCGCGAAATTCCGGTAGCGCGAAGGAAATCGGCGATGGCGGGACGGCGGGCAGAACTCCGAAATGTGCCCCCGCCAAGCAGTTCACTTGCTCCGATACCTCCGCGAGAGAACGCCGGAGATTGCGACGGTTCTCGGGCGAGCTTACCTCGAAGTTTTGTGCGGCGGCCGCAGCCAACATGGCATTGAGTGCGCACAATGTTGGCAAGATGGCAGGACATAGCTTGGAACTCGACGCTATGAGGGCGTTGGTCGTGACACGGAGTTGCGCGATGGTATGCTGCAGCTCCGCTGCGCTGTCGTGTGATCCGCACGAAGAGCCAAGGCCCGCCTCTGCGGAGGATACAGTGACTGCGGTATTCGAGGTGGTACAATTCTTGACCAAGGACGCGTGGACGGCGTCCCTTGGAAATCCAGCTGTGGTCGGATTCGTGGACATGGGTTCCAGGGCGCTGGAAGCGTCAACGACGTTCCCAGGCAAGCGGAACCCGTGTGATGAGTTGTGACCTGGTACTGTGGCGTAGATGAAGCGGTCTTGCGCCGCCGGGTAGGCCTCGACGCCGTACACGGTGGGTGCTTGAAGCGCCGACAGGTTGCCAGGTATGGAGGAGGCATGTACGCCATCCCTAGGTGAGAGAGGCCCGTGCGCATGGTTGCCGCGACGTGTCGCGTCCCAGGACAAGTTTCCCGGAACCACAACGGAGGCCTGGACGCCATCCGTCGGTGCTGGGATCGATGCTGGCCGCGACGGACGC